GGCCTCGAACCGTGGTCCACTACATGGGAGTCCAGTGACATAGCCATTACGCTAACTGCTGGTCCCTAAGCCTCCTCTCTTAACCTGTAAAGGGGAGGTTATGAACGCCTTCCTCACACTTGAATGGAACTACCACGCAGTGCCACACGAGGGCGCTGCCACGTGCTTTCAAAGCAAGGCCCTTGCCCTTGGCCAGAGATCCCAGCGAAGCCGGCTTCCTTTCCTGGCTCCGATGTTCCAGCTTTTTCCATCGTTCGGTTGTGTCAACATAGAAACCAAGTGAGGAAGAGCCCGAGTTACCTGCTTGAACCCCCGTGTGACGGAGGTCCATGCAGGCTCATGTCACAGATGAGCGGATTGAGACTCCGAGAAGTAGCCCTCGCACAGCCCCACAGGCAGCCTCAGCTCCTGAGCCCTGCCTCCGCTCGGCAGCGGGTCCCGTAAGTGGCCCGCCGTCTCCCGTGGAGCCCACGCAGTCGTAGGCCATCTTTTGGTTACAGAGGTCCTTGTGCTGAGACCTGCTGTCCTGCCCCTCCTACATCCCTGAGGCTGCTCCACTCCGTGGCCTCAGAAAGCCCCTCAGAAATGGGCTGACTTCTCACCTCTCTGGAAGTGTCTCTCTCTCTCTTTTTTTTTTGAGAGGTTATTTGCTATAGGGCGCGTGTGCTCACCACACAGACAGAGACAGAGAGACAGAAAGCGAGAAATCACCCCCCAGGGGGGATAGCCACTCTGCAATCCCTTCTCCTCCATTCTCCTCTCGGGATCTTGGGCACGCATGCACATGCGCCTGGCGTGAGTTTAAGCCACCAGCTCCGGGACTCGAACTGCGGTCGACTACGTGGGAGTCCAGCGACATAGCCATTACGCTAACTTCTGGTCCCTGGAAGTATCTCTTGATAAGCTAAACTTCTGGTGTCTTCCCATTGTTCTCTAGACGCCAACTCACTCCTCCGGCCCAGGTCCCTTCGAAGGCCACTGCCACACTATCTGGACCTGCGGCTGGCGCTTCAGTCCGGTGGGACCTCACCTCACACCCGGAGGGGTGCCGTCGGAGGCTTCAGGCCTGCTCAGGATGACACATTTTGTGGCCCTCAGGTCCGCGAGCTTGAGAAGCAGCTGGGGCAGACCCGGAGCCGGTCTGCAGGGACAGCCAGTGACGAGCTGCTCGTCTATCCAGACCCGAGGAAGCTGTCGGCCCAGGAGAAGAACCTGCTGAGGCTCCGCAGCCTGGAGAGGGGGAGGCAGGAGAGCTGGGAGGTAATGCCGGGGAGGAGGCCGGCCGGGCACCGGGCCAGCAGGCAACGGCCAGGCCTGTGAGGGCTCCGGGCACGTGTGGTCAGAAGCTCCCAGCCATCCCTCACGGGCACAAGACCCCCGTGGCCTTGGGTCACCTCTACGTGTTCCTCGTGTCCTGTCCCTCCAGCTGCCTGCCTGCAGCCTCGCCCTGACCCATTTAATGACCTTTGCCTGGCCCTATCTGGCTCTCTGGAGAGACTACCCCTGAGAGGGAGAGAGAGAGGGCCAGGGGCCCACCGGTGTGAGAGGGTTGGGGGGCTTCAAGACAAGGGCTCCTGGCTGACGTGGGAGATGGACAGGTTGGAGTCAGCTTCAGGGCTGCGGCTCACGGGCTGGGTGAGCAGTCAGAACTCTGACTCGGGACCAGCAGTTAGTGTAATGGCTATGTCGCTGGACATAGCCCATGTAGTCAACCACGGTTCGAGTCCCGGACCTGGAAGCTTAAACTCACGCCGGGCGCGTGTGCGTGCGTGCCCAAGATCCCGAGAGGAGAATGGAGGAGAAGGGATTGCGGCGTGGCCATCCCCCCTGGGGGGTGATTTCTCACTTTCTGTCTCTCTGTCTCTCTCTGTCTTTCTGGTGAGTGCACGTGCCCTATAGCAAAAACCTCTCCAAAAAAAGAAAAAAAAAAAAAGAGCTCCAACTCTACCAGGTGTAAACAGGAAAGGACTTGATTGGCCCTATCAATGGGCAGTCCAGAGGGGGCCCAGCCTCAGACACAGTCGGATCCAGGGATCTGGGGGCCTGGGCTCAGCACCACTTTCTCCTGAGTTGGGGTCCCTCTCTCATGGGGATCCCAGGTAGTCCCAGCTTCCGACATTCAACCCAGTCCCCAGTGACAGAGGGTCCCAACCACACATGTCCCCAGTAGTTCCAAAACAGTCCCAGAGTCAAGTGTCTTCGGCCTACTTTGGATGGTATGCCCATTCCTGAGCTAGTCCCTGTGGCTGAGAGTACAGGGTCCTCTGAGTGGCCACACTTTAAGTCTGAGGACTGAGTCACCTCCCCAAACCTGGCCTGAGAACTCGGAGTAGGGACTGAGCCCGGAAGGGAGCAGAAGCAGCAGGAGGAGGCGTTTCAAGGCCGGGCTTCCTAACACTAAGGCCCTACCTTGCGTTTTGAGAGATTTCCATTTGTGAAGGCCACTAAGAACCTGTGACTGTCAACACATTGTCCCTCCCAGCACTCTAGACCGCCAGATGTGAGGAGGAGAGCAGAATTGCAGAGGCGGGTGGGGCCAGGCCCTGCTGGACTTGATGTGCTGCCATAGGGCGCGTGTGCTCGCCAGACAGAGAGAGACAGAGAGACAGAAAGCGAGAAATCACCCCCCAGGGGGGATGGCCATGCCACAATCCCTTCTCCTCCATTCTCCTCTCAGGATCCTGGGCATGCACGCACACATGCCCGGCGTGAGTTTAAGCCACCGGGTCCGGGACTCGAACCATGGTCGATTACATGGGAGTCCAGCGACATAGCCATTACGCTAACTGCTGGTCCGCAACTTTTCTCTTGAAAGCAAGGAGAACCCCTGGAGGGTATTGCATGGCAGTCAGCCGTGCATATCAGAAGGGTCACATGGTTGTGGAGGGAGGAGGACTGGGTTGGAGGAGGCATGGGGGGCAGAGCCATGATCTACTTGAGACACGACCTACACCGAGCAGCAGGACCGTGGTGAAAGGGCCAGACAGCAGGGACGCTGAAGGCAGACCTTCCGGGGCTCGGTGACTGAATACCACAGCAGGGAGAGGAGTGGAAGAATTTGGAAGGACTTTTAGGAAGTACAGTGGGTGGGTGGGTGGGGCAGAGAGGGAGTAGGTTCAAGGGAAGAAGGGGAATTGAGATTTAGAGATGGTGGGTTTGAAACGCTCCTAGCTTGGACTTACATGTTCACGTAGAAGAGAATATTCTAGAGTGGTGGGACGACCATGACCCAGTGGCAGGCAGGAGGAAACAGTTTCCCATGTGCCCTTCCTCTGCTGCGTGCTGACCAGATCCTGGACTGTGTCAGAGAGAACACGGGTCAGCCATGGCCACCTCCCTGCCACGGGGCCGTGGTCCTTTGGAGTCAGCACGTTGGATTCATCTTGCATTTCTACTCATTGGCTTCCTCAAAGTCCTGAAAAACAGTTTTCTAGCAATAACTGACCCTCAAGACCGAGTCCGATTGTGTCACTCACTGCACACACCCCTCCTCTGGGTCTCAGTCTTGGCCTGTAGGGTCTGCCTCGTCTCGCCTCTGCCCTTCCCCGGCTGTGCTCCTCCACACACGTCCTCCCTTGTGCGCTGTAGGCAGTCACGCGTGTGGGAAAGGTCACGTGTTTGGGGAAGGAGGAGGGACGCTATCGCTCTCTCCCTCGTCTCCTTCAGCCTCCGCTCAGGTGTCACCCTCTCAGAAAGGCCTTCCCTGAGAAGATGCCAGCACTCTAGCCCTGCCCTACTCATTTCGCGTTTGTCACTGCTGTCTGACGTTGTCTGTCTCCTCCGCTAGGATGTCACTCCTGGGGGACAAGGATGCTGTTTTGTTCCCTGCCAGATCCCTAAGCACCTTAACAGTGCTAAGAATGAAGCAGGCCTTCAGGAAACATTAGGGAATGAAGGGGTGAAGGGCAGACCGCAAAGACACGTGCCACTCGAGAGTTTCCCGTTTGTAGCTGCAGAGCACCACCGGGGGCGTGGGGCTGAGCGGGTGTGGACAAAGCGAGAGGGTGGGGCGGTGGATGGACTGTCCTCATTCCAGCTCTTTCTTGATGGGATGCAGCGCTTCAGTCAAACCCTACCTTAGCGCTCTTGGCTAACGAATGACTTTTTTTTTTTTTTCCTTTTTCTTTCTTTGGAGAGGTTTCTGCTATTGGGCACATGCACTCTCCAGAAAGACAGAGAGAGACAGAGAGACAGAAAGCGAGAAATCACCTCCCAGGGGGGATGGCCACGCCGCAATCCCTTCTCCTCCATTCTCCTCTCGGGATCTTGGGCACGCACGCACACGCGCCTGGCGTGAGTTTAAGCCGTCAGGTTCACGATTCGAACCGCGGTCGACTACATGGGAGTCCAACGACATAGCCACTACGCTAACTGCTGGTCCCGCGAATGACTTTTCTCTTTTCCTAGTGTGGGGAGGGCTCACAGTTGGCCGTCTGTGCTCTCTGGAGGACACATCGGAGTGGACAGTGGTCACGTGCCTGGACGCCTGTGTCGTCATCCATTCGTGATGTCTGTCCTGCGCGGGGGCCCTGGCCGTGCGCTGTGCTGCGTGGCCTCACCGGGGAGGGGGAGTGAGGGGCAGATGCAGCAGGTCCCCCCAGCCCTGCCGCCACGCCCTTGCTTCCCGTTACAGAAACTTGCTGGTGAGCGGGACGCCCTCCAGGGAGAGCTCGAGGAGCTGAAGAGGAAGCTGGAAGGCACGAGGTCTCGGAACAAGGTGCTGTCGAGCGAGGTGAAGACCCTCAGGAGCCAGATGGGGACGCTGGTGGAGAAGGGCAGGCATGACGACGAGCTCATCGACGCCCTCATGGTAGGAAGCTCCACCCGCTCGGCCAGGCCGAGAGCAGGGCCTGCTGCTCCCAGGGGAGGCCACAGCCAGGCCGAGAGCCAGGGCCCGCTGCTCCCAGGGGAGGGCCGCAGCCCTGCCTAGAACCCTATGACCCCGCTTCAGCCACAGGGATCCCTCACTCACCCCCAAACGCCACTGTATGACCCAGAATCAGGGTTCTGGGCCTCGCGTGTGGCCTTCGGGTGGGCCCCAGCCTCAAAGCCCTCTCCCCGGAGGCAGCCGCGGTGCAGAGAGACTGCAAGAGGGGACATAGAAGGCTGTGACGTGGGCAGTACCAGGGCAGGCTGCTGGACCTGTGGACCCCAAAGGGGGAGACATATAAGGGGAAGGAGAGGAGCCTCACTGTGGGCTACTTCCCAACAAGGAATCGCAGGGACGTTGAGGCCAGCACAGGTTCGTGTGTGCAATGGTGCAGCCTCCTCCCGCATCCAGGACCCCACAGGCAAGTCCACACCAGGCTCATCGTACCGTAAATGCTCCATGAACAGCAAGGCCGCTCAGCTTCCCTGACCTGACAGCCCAGGCTCTCCCTGTGGGACCAGAGCGGTCCCAGAACTTGGAGTCTGAATTCCAAGTTGAGCCCACAGGCCAGGGCTGGGTGGTCACACCTTGCTTGGCTGGGATGTTTGGGGAAACGTGCCGGCTCAGGCCCCGCCTTGGTCCACAGGAATCTCACACTGCGGGGTGCTGGGCAGGCCCAGGGACCTAAGACCCAGGCCCGCCTCTGTGTGTGAACCTG